CTATTTCTCAGCCCTCACTAGTCCCCGAAGCAATGCAGGTTGGCCGTGAGGAATGTGAGGTACGTCTGGTTTTCATGCGTGCGTGCATGCGTGCGTGTCTACACACACTACCTCTAATAGAGTGCACGCAATTAACAATGCTGTAATATTGCAATACACCCTTTAGTGGATACAATGTCACATCTTGGTTTCTGAATTGTTAGTAATTACTCAAGTAAACATAATCACACATTGATACAGCCAGTTAGGCGAAGCTGAACTTGTCGCAGTAGTCATTAATTATCTGGGGAACTTGCTTTAATCTGTTAATCGATACTTTTTATCGCATATCTTAACGAACATACATGAGAAAAAAAATAATAATAATAAAATAACAGTAGCAGCCGCACCACAATGGCCTATTCCAGGTCATGTCTATCGATGACATCGGAGGCTAATATTGATATCAGTTCTGGCGTGTTCAGAGAGGCGCGTTTTTCACTTCATTTCCTCGCCTTCGCTATTGCTCCCCGCATCAGCTCCTACCTCGCCCTCGTCATTTTCCAGACCATTTTCCCGAGCATCTTCTCTAACTCATGAGACTCTCCGACATCCGTTTCCTCCGCCCTCGAGTCCCATCCTCGGCCCACAAGCGCCTTCGTTCTCCTTCAGCTCTTTCTCTCTCACGTTACTTGAGGCTCTCCCTACTTCAGTTCATCTGGAGTCAGGGCGAGGCTTCCTCCTCCCGTCTCTCTAGCCGTACACCAGGTTTCTCTTACAGCCGAGTATATCTATGATATATATAATATATATATATATATATATATATATATATATATATATATATATATATATATATATACATATATATATACACACACATACACACACACACACACACACACACACACACACACATATATATATATATATATATATATATATATATATATATGTGTGTGTGTGTGTGTGTGTGTGTGTGTGTGTGTGTGTGTGTGTGTGTATGTGTGTGTGTGTGTATATGTATGTGTATGTGTATGTGTATGTGTGTGTATGTACATGTATGTGTATGTATGTGTATGTATGTGTATGTGTATGTATATGTATGTGTATGTATATGTATGTGTATGTATATGTATGTGTATGTATATGTATGTGTATGTATATGTATGTGTATGTATATGTATGTGTATGTATATGTATGTGTATGTATATCTGTGTGTGTGGGGGGGGGGTGTATCAAAAGTCATCACAACTCCCATCTCTGACAGTCTGGATTCTAACCAACCTTGAGAACAGGCAGGCTTCCAGTGTAGTTTCTCAACAGACCACTTCCACACGCTCATCCAAATAGGAGAAAAAAATAAACGAATGTAGGAAACCCCTGTGTATGGCATTCATCGATTACGAAAAGGCATTTGACTCTATACAAATACCAGCATTACTAGAAGCTATTCGAAGACAGGGAGTAGAGGAGGTATATTGTAAAATACTGGAAGATATGAGAAGATGGGACAGCAACCATGAAGCTCCACACGAAAACCGATAAAATACCAATTAAAAAGGTGTTAGACAAGGCGATGCCATCTCACTAAAACTGTTTACAGCTTGTCTTGAGGAAATATTCAAGAAGCTAGAATGGAACAGAAAGGGTATCAAAACAGGAGACGAATGCCTAAACAATCTAATATTTACAGACGATATTGTTCTCTTCCGTGAATCTGCAAATTAAATGCAGCAACTAATAAACGATTGAATAGAGAAAGTCTGAAAGTCGGACTTCGGATGAACAAGAAAAACTAAGATCATGTTCAACAGTAAAATCAATTAGAACAGATACATGTACAATGCGAAGCGCTAGAAATGGTGGACGAGTATAAATACCTAGAGCAACTCGTATAGACAAATACATCTAGAGAAGAGGATATAAAGCGGCGCATCAGTCTAGGCTGGAGCATCTTCGGCAGACACAGTAGCATAGTAAGAGGCTCCGTGCCATTTTGTTTAAAAAGAAATGTCTTTAACCAATGCATCCTCCCAGTTATGACCTATGGATCAGAAACATGGACTGCAACCAAATTACTGGAGAGGGAACTAATAAGTATCCAGAGAGTTATGAGTAGGTTGATGCTGGGAATTAGCCTAAGAGATCCGGTGAGGGCGACGTGGATCAGGGAACAGACAGAAGTGGAAGATATGATTGGGAGCATCAAAAAGAAAAATGGCAATGGGCAGGTCATATATGTCGACAGGTCGACAGATGGACAAAGAAAGTAACAGATTGGGCTATAGATAACATAAAGAGGCCAAGGCCCTGACCAATGACAAGATGGCATAAAGAAATAACAAAATTTGGGAGCCAAAGATGCAAGACAAAGTTGGAAAAGATTGGGGGAGGCCTACGTCTTGGCTGATGATGATGATGTGTATATATATGCATATCTATCTATCTATCTGTGTATGTGTATGTGTATGTGTATGTGTATGTATGTGTGTGTGTGTGTGTGTGTGTGTGTGTGTGTGTGTGTGTGTGTGTGTGTGTGTGTGTGTGTGTGTGTGTGTGTGTGTGTGTGTGTGTGTGTGCGTGTGCGTGTGCGTGTGCGTGTGCGTCCGCGTGTTTGTGCGT